CCCGCTGCTGGCACACGGTATTCGAATCTTTTCCCGTGTGCTGGCACAGATCCGTCGGGCAGTGCATACGGAAAAGGCAGATATTCGGGTAACAGACCCAGCTGCACAAGTACTGTTGCCTGGTCCCATGAGATGTGTTCATGAAACAAGCGATCTCCGCGGATGTTGACTACAGATGTGAATGGAACGCGGACATATTTTTCCGTGGGAGGAATTCCGGGGATCCTAGGCAGATGTCAGTTAATTGCTCAGCTGAGCCACAGGAACCAATCACCCACATCCAGTCCATCTGCTTCACATGAGTGAAGACAAAGATAAACTCGTCTACAATTCGGTCGGTGCCTACTGTCCGACTAATAAGCTCCAAAGCTGTGTCGTCGGGGTTGTTGAAGATGAAATGATTGAGATAAAAATGGCTTAAACGAGCTCGTCCAATGCCTCCTGTTAGCGTTGGCACATGATTCACGTAAGGCTCTGAGACCATCGTCGCCATTGTCTTTTCGACCGAGCGTGCTTCGAATTCATAATAGGTGTGCTCATCCCAGATCTTCTCGAGGTCAAAGAACGGGCCACCCATGTGCTTTTTGACAAATCCGACAATCCGCGTATGAGCTACTCCTGCTGTCGATATGTTGAAATCCGGATGGCCTGGGATCATGAAGCTAGGAGAGGATACATCGGAGTATATGTGTATAGTCTGCCCTTCCTTCTTCTCGCCTTCCATTGGACTAGATAGCTGGAAAATGGTTGCCTGGAAGAATGGAATGTGCCAAGAGTCGAAGAATACGGCGGCGATCAGAGCCATGCCTTGAACCAGTGCACCTTGCAGACTGTCCTCGAATTGGGGAGCATAATCTTTCTTTGATCCATAAACTGATTTGTGTCAGTGGAGGCTAGTGAAAGGGCCGGGTTGACACTTCGTACCTACCAACCCAACCTTTTCCTTCGTATCACACTCGGGCCTCTCTGCTAAGCCACACTCAGCTTCTTGAAGAAGCTCCCGCAGAGATGATATGTTAATGGCGGACTTTTCATCCACAGTAATCTGTACCACTGTAAAGCTTTCTTCCGCCCATTTTTTGAGGGGTTCTGGATCAAGTGTCTTGTTCTGCTGCTGGCATGTCGCGTAACAAAGAGGTCGTATGAGAATCAGTCCTGGACCGTGTCCACAGCGGGAAAGAGGAGGATGGATGGTCACATATGGACTCAAGTCCACTGGAGCGGAAGATAAACTTGACTCGGTCATTTCGCAGTCAGAAGTTGGAAGTTGAGCAAATGGGGGGTCTCCAAGTGGCCGGCCGATCGTTATATGTACCGGCCTGTCACCCCCACTAGTGAGGATAAGGATACAAATCAGCTATGCAAGAGATACGCTCTCAACAAGCTTGATAGATCAGATACTCATCATGTAATCTTGCAATTATCGCATTTATCTCAGGGCTACTATCCACGTGACCTGTCATCCTCGGCCCGTTCATTTCTACGCGCAAGCTGTCGCTCTCCCAAGAGCACAACCCAACAATGAACGCACTTGTTCAGTCTGCCCTGACTGATGTCGAGTCCAAGCTCAATGTCCTTCTGACCAGCCTTACAACCTCTCCCACTGCTGCAGGAGCCCCCGCAGCAGCTATCGCCCTGCTCGATGCGGACGATGCGCTAACCTGCGCCATTGAAACCCTCCGACAGCACCAAGAAAACCACGCGAAGATCCTTCGATTGCGAAACGAGGCACAAAAATTGGAGGACCGAGTCAAGGGTATCGTGGGGGATATTGAAAGCTTCGAGAAAGAGATCCGCACGGCTTGTGGAGACAACGGCGACAGCGACAGCGATTTCGACTCCGACTCCGATGACGACCTTGGCGGAAAGAAATCATTACTACGGGGAATCAAGGAGATTGACTACAGGTTACTCTTGGATTTCGCACGTCGCATCAGCAAATACAACCACGAAGCAGCAGCCGATGCAGCAACAGGCGTTGTGAAACGTCAAGAACAAGGGAATACCCCCGCCGACAAAGATGTGACAATGACGGGAACAAATGGAGAACAGCCAACAGAGGAGGATGCAGAGCCAGTGGCATCTGTCACCAAAAACGCAACGCAGTGGTTGGACGAGTCCGCAAATGTTACGCGCCAGGTCTACATGCTGCCCTACCCGATGGAGGAACGGATACGGATGGGATTAATGGGTCAAATCCAGCTTTCTGCTGGTGACGATCCCGAAAAGGAGGTGGAACGGTTATTGCGCGAAGCTGAAGGTCTTGGGGCTGCAGAACCCCCAGCACCTGTGGAACCCGCGGAAAGCACAAAGCAGGCGGGCGAGGCTGCGAAGGCTGCAGCTCAGGCCGGATTATCAGCTGCTGGAATGCCGCGGGCGCATGCCCCAGCACCAGCACCGAAACCAAAGCCCAAGGCGATGCTAGACCTTGATCTCTACGACCCCGACGAAGATGACGATTGAGTGTTTTAAAGCGGGCGTTGCATTCGATTTTCATAATGATACCAGCTCAACAGCAAAAAGCCATTCAAACTTTTTTTTTTATTTTTTCAGCCGTGTCTCATTCCACATTTTGTCTGCCTCGGGGCGTTTGATCCAGCTTACGAGCCGAAGACTTGGCCGTCCATCCCCCGGAATCTCTTATTGCGCAGCGAAGCGAAGCAATTAAATCATAAATTCGTGTAATTGTTACGTGACGGTTGTTTTCCCCTTCGAGGACAGTCTGCAAGGTGCACTAGTTCATACCATAATAAATGGCACTCGTATTGAAAAGAGAGTCCCAAGAAAAGACCTTGCCTAATTAGGTTAGACCACTGTGCCAACAGTAAAATCGCTGCGCCAACAGTATCTTACCCTTCCTCCGGGTAGCACAAGTGCGTTTCCATATTTGCATCGAAGGCCACAAAGCAGCGTTGCCAAGAATTCAGAGCCTGTTGAGTATGAAATTTTCAGGAGATTGAAAGCCCTATATGTCTCTAGTAAATCAGAATTGTGGTGCTCATCATGACATCGCTCATCATGACATCAAAAATTAGTAGTACTAGTTTAGTTCCTACATCTACAAGGCCGAGGAAAAAGAACCTGGCCTGGTCAATCGAAAGTAGTAAACCATGGAGAAAAATTGATGTTGAATATCAGATCTTTTCTGTATTTTCACGGTCGTCCATGAGTACTGTTGAGCAAGGCATTCAAGCTGACCGGTTATCCCGTGAAAGAGAAAGCACACTGGCACTACTGTAATATGAATTATTTATCTCTATATCTCTGAAGATAGGAGACTCGCAATACGAGTAAGGCTACAACGGTTTTGACGATGAGTTTAATGGGATTCCCGAGTGCAAGCTACAAGTTCTCTGATACTATACTAGGGGATCATGGTCTCCTGATTTGTGTCAGTGACTTTCGATGGACACGTGACAATGAAGATGAACTTTCAAAGGGCCTTCGATGTACGTCACACTTTGTGGCTCATAGTTATGCACTGGTCATTCAGTATTCATAGAAAATCTTCCAGAGCCCAAATGAGCTTAGTAGTGTGGGTACCATGGCTTTGGTATCTATATTAGTCCTCGGCGGTGGATAGGCAAGTTTATTCTGAACTCAAAGGGTCCTCTACTCTTTTCAAAGAATAAGACTAAAATAATTCCAACAAAAGATTCTCTGTTCTCTTTATTCTCTTTACCAGACCAGATTTTCTAAGAACTGTTTAATTATCTCCGACAATGTCTAAATTATCTAACGATAGTCCTCCGCAATACGAATCACACCATCAAAGCCAAGATAATATACTTATCACTGTCATTCAGAATGAAAGATGCTTCCGGGAATGGGCGCGAAAAATGCGGGATCTTGATCCTAGATTCGAAAAGTTTTTCGATAGCTCATTTCAAGGCGACTTGAGATGCCCAAAAGGTTTGGAGTATGTACTTCGAGGGGGCCGACTACTTGATGAAATGACAGACTTACTCAGAGAAGCTACGAACATACTCGAGGAAAGAATATCACACGGCCAGAACGAGCTCTATGATGCCATGAAAAAGCTTTCTGATACCGAGCTTGATCGCGTCTTTGCTTCTTCAAAGTTGGGCACAACATCGCATAGGCAACCTAACAATATAGACGGCCATGGGAACTTCAAATACAAGTCATCGAGGGTACGGATGTTTTTCCACGCTATCCAGGGGGTATGGGATCATCTCAAGGGCCCGCCAGTCTGAGACTCTTGGGATCGACAGCTTCCTGCGAGTCGCTTTTATTTCTCTATGAGAGTTCTGACGAGGCATTATAAAGAGGGGAAAATAGCATATTGGTATTTGCTTCTGTGATATGTTTGTATCTTTCTTTATACCAATACCAAACCTCTACACTTTGGTATATATTTCACCGTATTCTACAACAGCGAGAAAGAGGTTTGACGTTGTTCATTACCCTTGATGAATTGCTAGTAATATAATCCATCGGACATGAAGTAGTTGCAATCTTGACTAAGCCCTTGATATCTTACTAGATAGTCCACTAGCTCAATACCTTTCTACTAGGTTGCTTCACCTGTAGTAAATCTTCCAAGGCTGGGGGTTCTGGAGTCGCGTCAAACTTATTACTAGGCACCGTATATACTACTTATTATGCCACAAATGTAAATGACTACAAGACTCACCTTTCATGTAATTACAGAACCTACCTTCGAGATAAGAAACGTTTACGGCGAACGGTGAGATCCACGGATTAGCACGAGAAGAAAAGCCAAGCAAGCCAGACAGTGCTCGCGAGCCACGCAAGCACACGGAGCAAGAATGCGATATATAATGAAATAAGAATACAAGAAAAAAAATACAAGGAGCAAAATAAGAATACAAGAAAAATTAAAGATACAAACAAAGTATACAAAAAAACTTTGTTTGTCACATATCCAGTTTTCCCTTCATTTCACCTCGCTGAGGTTCTCGGAGAGAAGCAAAACTGGTGAAACGCCGAGAGGAACGCCTTGGTGCCAGAGGGGCTCACTCCCACCCGAATTGGCGCTTGAGCCAGCGTTCAAGGCCCCGGGCAGCACGGCCAGATTGCTGGACGGTGGTAACAGTGGCCTGGGCTTCGGCGGCCAGGGGGCGAGACGGAGAAGGGGGAGGGGGAGGGGGGAGGGAGACAACCCAACGGAGCGGGCCTGCAGAGTTTGCTATCACGATAGCTTTCATGTCGGTACCAATACTATCTCCGCCCGGACTATCTCCCGCCAACGCCAACGCCTGCGCTGGTGATCGGTTCGAGCTTATCGAGTGACGAAGCCTTCTCCAAAAAATCTGACCGGAGGTCCGCGATTGCAGGAGAGCCTCATGACGATCCTGCGAAGAAGGCCTATTCATGTTCGCAGTCGCGATCTTTGGTGTAAGGATGAAGTGGGGGATATTATGACATAGGAGCGCGGGCGGAGGGGATCACTAGTATTTAGTCGATATGCCACTGTCTATCCCGTCGGGAGATTAGCGGTGGGACAAACACATTGAACCTGTTAATTCCAGAGGACAAGTTTTGTGTCACTGGTGGCTCCACCGTAGAATATACTTCGGCAGGCAGGGTCGCCTCTTCAATATATATTTTGACAAATAACCGCTTTTCAGTATCTAAGGTGGCTTCATAAGCCGTGGGAAGTCAGGCTAAGGACAGAACAGGGCTAGGAGTTGCTGATAATTATTGATATAAAATCAAGCATGCAAGGTAGTTCATGTGCAAGGCGATTTTGATAGTGATAAGAGAATAGCCACTCTATTCTCTATTTAAGTTTGCGTTATATAATCTTAGATGGGAATATTATCTCAATAACTCGCTCGCATGGCTCAGTGGTAGAGCGCGTCACTCGTAGATTCAATCTGGAAATGATGAGATCCCCGGTTCAATCCCGGGTGTGAGCATATTTATTTATTTTTTTCGTCTTCTTTGGACAATTTGCTTTATAAAGCCAAATATGCGCAAGCCTTTCACTAATCAGCTCGCATGGCTTAGTGGTAAAGCGCATGACTAGTACGAAGTCTATCATGAGATCCTCGGTTCGACTCCGAGTGTGAGCATTTTTTACCTTTATTTTATTTCCATCTTTACCTCAAGGATCGCTTCATATAGGCAAAGTTTTGAAAGGTTTTCATTAATCAGCTCGCATGGCTTAGTGGTAAAGCGCATGACTAGTACTAAGTCTATCATGAGATCCTCGGTTCGACTCCGAGTGTGAGCATTTTTTTGCCTTTGTTTGAGCTTTTTGACTGAGTGTTTTGCGGCTTTGTGTGAGCTGCTTTCCACCTTTTTTGAGTTGTGCTTTCCATTATGGTAGTAGGTTTATATAGGCAAAGGTGTGTAAGTTTTCCACCAATCAGCTCGCATGGCTTAGTGGTAAAGCGCATGACTAGTACGAAAAGCTATCATGAGATCCTCGGTTCGACTCCGAGTGTGAGCATTTTTTGCTTTTGTTTTTATACACTCCCTAGTAATTTGCAACAAACTGGTTGAGAATTGCGGCCAGCGGTGGACATACCTAAAGTAGCTAGCGAGTGTCGATAAAGTGTGCCCGTGGCGCCGTCCTGCTCTCCTCACCGCCCTTTTGCCAAATTCGCGTGTACCTAAGCAAGACAGCAGGTAGTTACCTGCACTTTGTATGTAAATCACTGACAAAAATAAGTCACTATTATCACCTCTTATTCTATATCACCCACGTCAACTGAAAAGAGATAGGAATCAGGCAGATTTTGCAATTTGTTACTCAATTTGTTACTACATAACCAACTAATAAGGCAGAAAATATTAATACCCGATCGCGAAGGCGGTACTTTAAATTTAGCGCTTGCCACGGTTACCGCGTTATCAAACTTATCACAGTAGGTACATGTACGAAGACGTTTTTAGCAGCCTCTGAAACTTGTTCGCCTTTTCAAGTTATATAACTCTTAATACTTATAATTGGTCTAACTTTTCCCGAGTCGAAGTTTACCATATGTATCCCTCATAAGTAAATCCCTATCAAAATGTTCTTTTGTATTTCCAAGCTTTTAACAAGAATGGAGTCATATACACAAATATGGAAAAGGCTTCCACCAATCAGCTCGCATGGCTTAGTGGTAAAGCGCATGACTAGTACTAAGTCTATCATGAGATCCTCGGTTCGACTCCGAGTGTGAGCATTTTTTTACTTTTTTGGCTTGTGCAGCCTTAAAGCTTTTAAACACAAACTCAGAGAGCAAGAGACGCGTTTACAGCAGGCGAACATTACTTGGCTGTCGAATGTCGAGAGCGGAGAATGATGGATGGATGGCCTTAAGAAAAGAAAATCCAGTCAAACAGGACCAATAAAAGGACAGTCAGGGCTAAATCCGTGAAATAGAACTATACACAGGCAGAGTGCATGATCTAGCCAGTTCTCCTGCAACAAGTGAGCCTAGAGGCGTAAATATGCATGGTGACGAAACTAATCGGGACGCCTAAGACAGACCCCGGGGCTATGAGTATCTTGTATTTGGGGTGCATTGAAGTCCCAGGCTTGAACACTCGCGCTCTCAACCGCTTTCTGTAGGTGGACCAAGTGACTATCTATATGTAGTAGTGTTTTGGGACTATAGATGCGTAGCTGAGGCCACCCTGTTACTACCAACTTTCTACCTCTCTCCACAAATCTTTATCCCGGCTTCGCCATCAAACTTGCCCCGTTGTGACACTTATTAGGAATATGTAGTAGTACCGCACCGGAGGATGCTCCGGACCAGTTCACCTATTATCTCTTTCGCTTCAAAAGGCTCAACTTGGACCCAAACATGCCTGCGTATGTCGGATTATAATTGCGGCCTGTCGGCTGGGCCCTTATCCTTAATCCCCCACAGTGTGGAGGAAGAAATCGATGAGCCCAATGATGATCGATCGAGTCATGATCCCCGGATGTCACCTCCACACCACGAAACACGCGAACAAAGCTTGGTCGAGCCAGACTGTGATAGTCACTCGGACCAATCGGAAACAACGATGCTTTACTTATAGAGTCGATGTAATGGACTCTTGGCACTTATCTGGATAACCCCAAAAAGCATTTAATTAGGCCCCGGGGCCCCGGTTTATGCCTGGTGTCCAGAATGGCGGTTCTGGTCATTTTGGGTTCTATTCTGCTCAGAGCTCTTGAATTGCTTTTGTCGGATATATCATTACAATGAGTCACTACGAACACCCTTCCTTCGATCAAGATCAGCCAGATGGAGACGTGGAGAAGCAGGATGACAGTGATGGAGTCTGTTCTGCTGGGGGCACTCGTAAGGCCAGCCGAGCGCAAGGGAGTGCAGGTGGACGTGTCAGTGGAGATGAAAGAGATGAGTTAAAAGAATGGGAGTGCTACGACAAGCTAGGATATTCCTTTTCATGGTGGAAAAGATGGACTATCATCTCTGTCATCTTTGCTGTCCAAACGTCCATGAACTTCAATGCCAGTTTCTATGCCAGCAGCATCACCCTGTACGCGACACACTTCAATATCTCAGAGCAGGCCGCACGTGTTGGTCAGATGGGATTTCTCGTTGCTTATGCATTTGGTTGCGAGTTTTGGGCGCCCTTCAGCGAAGAGTTTGGTCGATGGCCAATAATGCAGCTCAGCTTGTTCTTCGTCAATATCTGGCAGATCCCCTGCGCTCTGGCCCCTAATTTCGGCACTATTGTTATCTGCCGCATTCTTGGGGGTCTATCCTCCGCCGGTGGTTCTGTAACTCTCGGGATGGTAGCAGATATGTGGGAGCCAGGTGACCAACAATATGCCGTAGCCTTCATTGTGCTATCCTCCGTGACAGGCTCGGTCATTGCCCCAGTCGTCGGAGGCTTTGTGGCAACCTTCCTTGACTGGCATTGGAATTTCTGGATCCAGCTGATCCTTGGAGGCTCCGTGCAGATATTGCACTTCTTCGTTCCAGAGACCAGGTGCAGCATCCTCGTCACCAGAGAGGCTAGGCGAAGACGGAAAGATGGGGATATGGTATGGAGTGGTGACGAGTTGAAGCAAACTCGCATGTCCTTCCGCTGGGTCTTCATGGTTTGGGTCCGCCCGTTTATTATGTTCGCGCGGGAGCCTATCGTCTTGTTCCTCTCTCTCCTCAGCGGTTTCAGCGATTCTCTCATCTTCACTTTCCTCCAATCGTATACACCGGTATACAAGCAATGGCACTTCAATACGATTACAACGGGACTTGCTTTCCTCCCGTGAGTGCGCACAACCTTGAATTTAGACTGATTCTGATAATCTGGTTATGCAGACTTTTGGTGGGCTATCTCATTGCCTATGTTTCATTCATTCCATGGATTTATCGGGATTGTAAGAAACGAGAGAGAGACCCAGATGCTCTTCAGCCGGAAGCTCGTCTTTATTGGTTGCTATATGGTACGTATTCTCGGATTTGGTTCATTGGTCTCATCACTCACTCGCAACAGTGGCTCCTCTATTGACAATTGGTCTATTTGGATTCGCGTGGACTAGTCTCGGTCCACCTCATGTCCATTGGATTGCGCCTATGATCTTCTCAGCCTTGATAGCCATTGCTAATGTAAGTCATGAAAACTCTTATCCCACAATACAAGACTAACAAGTTATTCTGTGATCAAGTATGCTATTTACATGGCCACAATTGACTACATGATTGCCTCGTATGGTCCATATGCTGCCTCGGCCACGGGAGGAAATGGAATGGCGCGTGATTTCCTGGCTGGTATTGCAGCGATGTATTCAGTGCCTAGTAAGTGACCATAATCCCTACAACAGAATATCCACTGACCACAAAATACAGTGTATACAAACATGGGTACAACGCATCACCTTGAATGGCCTTCTACCTTCCTGGGCTTCATGGCAATTCTCTTCACCATTCCAATATACGTGTTCTATTGGGAAGGTCCTAGGATTCGAGAGATGTCACCATTCGCGCAGACCTTGGCTTCCGACAGAAAGAAGGCTGGCCGCAGGGTTTCTTCTTGTGGTTCCGGTGATCCAGATCCCGTTGAAAGGTATCTGTCTGAACGGTCTTCACAAGCGACCAGAACCAGATCCGGTTGAAAGGTATCTGGCATGTTCCTCGAAATAATTCCATGTCTCTAGCTTGCCGTGGTTTGGGCTGAGATTTGCATCAGAACGGCGGAAGGAAAGAGTATGAAATCACTGACACAGGATATAATTGGTTTCATTGATTTTTATCTTAAAAGCTTTTCTTTGGTGACATTCTTCGTGCTGATCTTCATTTCTGTTGCGTTGGCCTTCATCACTGCACTGCTAAACTGGGAAATATTTTTGTATTATTTTTGTATTGATATAATGTCACAATGGACTTTATTCTGGGATATACTTGCTGTCGCACACTTACGCTTGATGCAAGAATGCCATCATCCCATCATGCCCTAGAGTAGGGGCGATTAAGTATGTCACCAGGGCATAAATTTTAGTATATTACTGCACCTTCAAAAAATTACCTGGCAATATTATCTAATGAGAGGGTTATGTCCCGGTGGCATATAGTCGCCCGTACTAGAGTCATATCATAGCTAACTCGGAAATACTTCCCGATGCAGCACCAGCAGCGATATTTACTTTGTCCACAAGGGTGTTTGAAATTAAGTATAGGGTATAGACGTTTAGATACAGTACAGTTGATGGCTCGCAATGTAGAAACGGAAATCAAGTAAAATCATTGATTCCAAGAATCCTGGAGTTTTCGAATGGCATATTCAGTAGTCCAACCCAAATCAGCTTCGACGCCCCGTAGCAGATCAACAATAATCTGATGTTCCTCGGGATTTTCAAGACACTGCCCGACAGCGACGAGAAGCGGGACCATGAATATGCGAACTCCACCTTGGGGGCGACCCAATGCAATGCCGCTGACTTCACGGGCACGGAATTCGACCTCTTTCGTGACCTCCCGGTACCCTTGTAAGCGGTCAAAGGCTGTAGACGGTGCACTGATCACATCTGCCGGACGATTGAGCAATAATGCGATGCGCCCGAAATGGTAATGTTGCATGGCAACAGCACAGGTTGTCAAGCCATGGAATATTTCAGGGAATGACAAGTAACTCCCTTCGGCAGTCTTTGATAAATCCTTGGGGCGTTCGATCCGCACAGAAGAACGGAACGTTTCTGGCACATTTTCAAACCATGTTTGAAATTCGAAAGATATCCTGAGCCAGGTATCTGTGTCCGGATAAGGCAGTTGGGTGGCGTTTGTTGTTGTGCCTTCGGGTGAGGCTGCCGGTGGAGATCCTGTCCACTGCGCAAGCTGTAATTGTTTAGACCTGGCGAGGAAGTTGATGACTTTCGTGACAAGCCAGATCAACCCATTAGCAGCCTGATCTTCCTGCGATAGAGTTGACCCGTTCCGGATAATATGGAAGGATTTCTGGTCGTTGATTGAAATTCCTGCTGCCCGCCAGAGGGGCAGGTTCTCTGGGTCGAAATGTGTAGGTGAGCGGGTAAAATAAGAACCGAGATAGTCTTGGCGGGCGAAATTCCAGAAGGCAGCCCGAATACCATGAGAAAACAGGGCGGATGATACCGAATGTAAACCGAGAAGTGACTCAAACAAAGGACCAATGCGAGCAAGTTGCCTGGGGTCTAATGTTAGTAATAGAACAGCAACCGCTAACAAGGATCTCTTACATGTGCCATTCGTCCCCGGGCATATCTAAAAGCCTGTACATGGTAAGAAGCGTAGCAGACGCCAACAGCTCCTCTGTCTTTCGAATGATCGCCATGTCGTTTGGATCTTCACTCGCGGGCTTCATGTTCGCTTGAGTCTGACGGGAGCTGATCCATCGACCAACGATCTCAAAGGGGGATTCTAAGATGGCTGAGCTAGACACAGTGGTATAGCCATCGGACGTGAGGTTGTTCAGGTCCGAAGCTCCTAGGTAATAGTAATTGGCAGCTTTGAGGAACCAGTCAACTTGAGTTGCGTTTGGATAAGTTTCTGTAGTCGCAGGGCTCGTGAACATTCCACCCGTGGAAGCCTTGACCCCTTTCAAGCGAGCTAGGTGTTTGGCTGCTAGCGCTGCAATAGCGTACTTCACGGACAGATTGCTGATGGCTCGAATAGGAACATGAACGGTGAAGAATTTTTGAGAATCGGACAAATCTAGCCTATTGTATTATCAATACGCTGTACACGCCAAGGGAAATGCCAGTTATACGCACCATGGACCTATGACCTCCGAGTAATGTCGAGTGAGGAACGCGATCTCGTGTTCAGTTCCAGTCATGAGCTCCGAGAAAATGTCCTGGAATTCATCTTTTTCACTTCGATGTGATGAGCTTTCGGAGATGACCCTTTGGTAATCGGGGCCCTTATGTGGAATTGGGGTGTAGGTGTTATCAAATGTTGGGAAACCTCCTGCGGCCGCAGTTGGTGAGATTGACTTATATATTGTGTTTCTTGAAGATTCGCTGCCTTCCTCGATGCCAGAGATGGAGTTGTGAATAGAGATAGCTGGGCTTTCTGGGGCATGCATTGTTGTTTGCTGGATACTCCCCATAGCAACCTCTGGGCGGTTAGAAGGACCAGGCATTTCTACTATCATGGAGTCATCTCTCGAGTCCATCTGAAAATGAAGAGCCGGATTATCTTGCTCCTGAGGCTGATTCCATTGCAAGGTCTGCTCATTAGGTCCTACTTGTGAGCTTTTTGGCTGTGTCGGGTCTGATATCAGCTCTGCGGGGACGTATCACAAAGCATGAGTGCTTAGGCAGTTGGCAGTTTGACCTACTTTGTTTGAATTGAATGCAGAGCTTGGCCTTGAATGAGGCTCCTGATATGGAGCATAGCGGCGCCTTACTGTGGCTCCCTGATCGATGAATTTGCGGGTCTGAACATACCCCGGGCATTCTACCCCCGCGGTGGTGCACCGCTGACAATGAGGGCGAGTCTCATCACACTGCCCCAGGTTAGCGAAAACCTGCACATCCAAGTTCAAGAAGTCGAACTAACTTTGAGATGTCTCTTTTTGCAACGCTCGCATGCCTTGTTAGATGGCACCCCAGGCATTGTGGGTTGCGTGCTAGTATCGCGATTTCCAGGGCTTAATGCTCCGTTTTCGAGGTCATGGGAGAAGCTCTGCGTTGCGTCGTTATAACACATACAGCTACTTCACATTTCGAAAATACATCAGGCGAGGACGCAATCCCAGGGCAACAAATCTAGAATGAATGATGCAAGGTGCGGCCAAGGCCCGCGGGCTGAAGGGGGGATGACATAATATCCCGGGAATTTCTCGCTTGGAACTCGGAATTTGGTGACCTTTTTCCCTTGTACATCCTGTCGTCACTTGCTTCTTTTCTACAAAAAAATCATACACCATGCTGCGAACACCGTCAATTCTCGTTGATAGACAATATGACACATCTTCCCCATTGATCCGGTATATTGAAGGCCACGATCGGATACGTTGGGGCTCAATATCTTCAACACAGCCGGTTCTTTCAGGACCAGAACAAATCCGCGTATATCGCGAATGGATTGGTGTGTCACCATATCAAATTGACTAGTGAATCTGGTAACTAATTCTGCAGATGCTGGGAGACCTCATAATATAGTATGTTGGGAGTGCCGTCTCCCCGACAGTCTGATTGGTTGCCAGACCTGCTGTAGGTCCTACCATACAGCATGTTTAATGGATGTGGTTCGCTCTGCAAATAACTTCCATTGTCCATCTTGCCGGGCAAGAGCTTGGGATCGTACACCGCCCCAGTTCCCCGTGCCATCTCCAACCCCAAGCACTGGAGGGACCCCAAACAGCCATTCAGACACGTCATCTGTAAACATTTCAATTCGTCGCGATAGATCGCCAACAGCATCACGGGGTAAATCCTCAACGGCCTCGGGGATGATGCATCCCCCTACTTTGAACCGTATTGATGAAGTCAATGCTCGCGGTACGCCAACTGAGGTATATCCTATTGCAGAGATGTACCCTCGGCTTCTGGAATATCTAGCGTTACCAGATGCTGAGACAGATCGCCATGCCCAATCGTCACAGTTCAAGCATCAACTGGGAATGGCTATGAAAGAGATTGAATCATATCGGGCATCGATACGAGACAAGACGAACATCCGAGAGGACTATTCACGATTACAGCGCGAGAATGCACAAATCAAAGCGTATCTTGATTCCAGGGACTCACCGCGAGAGTCTAGTATTCCAAGCCCTTCGACAGTTCCACACAGCATCATCTCAAAACCGGTGTCTGAGCAAAGGGTGAAGGCTTGGGACAGCCTTGCCATTGACATGTTTTGACTGTTCGTGTCTGGCTGCACGAAGCCTTTTTGACGTATACTCAACGAGGAAGTTGAAATAATGATAAAGAGTTACAACTGCAGCAAAAGAACAAGCATTGAATGTCCCGAGCTCTCGATTCACCCAACACGATCACTTTCAATGGCCTCGATATTTGCCGAACATCTTTCCTCGACGTTCTAGATGCATGTTGGAAACCGTGCATTTCGCCGAAAAGTTCCCGACCGGTCGTAATTTGATCATGTCACCGTCACGCTCTCCATTTTTGATAAAATGGCGCGGAGAAGGTTACATGAAGTGAAGTTGCTCTCGAAATGGACGAATCAACCTCTGGAGAGACTGCGTTCCCCGCATCTCGGGGCAATTGGCGTCCCCTCAATCTCAACGATCGACAAGTCAGGAACCCGGTCATTGTGGAACTCGGACATTATCAAGTTTCTTATTGGATTTTTCAACCGTCTTCTCTCCGTATCTTCGGGTTTTCGCTCCTTGACCTCTTCCCATGCGGGGAATGAGCGTGGCAGGGTGTATTCTGGGACCAGATACGGTAGATGTGACACCATTTCGGTCGAGCGTCGATACTACATCCACTGGGGAATTGCTCCTGCATTTCATTTTGGCCTAAGTGCAAGGAACCAAGGAGGTGACTGGCAGTTTCCTAATTTTTCCTCATTTCCCTCGAAGGGCACTTCGCATGCCGATCTGGCCCGGAATGCTTCCCCCGCGACTTATTGCCAATTCCCTATAAGGAGCTTGAATTCCGTGGAACGCGTCTTTTCTACGTCTGAATTGTAACCTGGACAGCTTTTGGATTATTCTTGTGTATGGCTGTAGATAATCTCTGGGTCCATTATGCTACCACAGCATCACTCCCTCCGCATGTGCATCTTCGGTGGCATCGTAACAGCCCTATATGCTTCCAACGTGATCGCCGCAAAGCATTCTTCGGATGACTTTGACGTCTTGAAATATGTCGATCCTTTGATTGGCACCGCGAATGGAGGTTTGTCCTGAATATGACGAGCATTTTTGTCAGAAAAGGCTGACAATTCTTACAGGCCATGTATTTGCGGGTGCGACTTTGCCATTTGGTAATTCATACGATACCCTTTGTTTTCATTTAACATGGCTAACAAACGCAGGTATGGCCAAAGCGGTGGCGGACACTGCAGGCGAGAATCAAGCTGGCTTCGCTTACGATACGGAGGTTGTGACCGGATTCTCACACATGCATGATTCTGGGACTGGCGGTGTAAGTTTTTTTGCAGACTATCGGAGAATATGCCCTGTATCTGACTGATTTCACAGTCCCCGTCAATGGGAAATTTCCCCATCTTCGCTCAAGAAAATTGCCCGCATGACGATATTAACCAGTGCAAATGGCAAAAATCGGATAGAGCAGCTGTCTGGGACAAAGAGTCTCCTGAAGCTCGTCCAGGATACTTTAGCATATCATTGGCGAATGGGGTCCATGCGGAAATGACAGCCACAAATCGATCTGCTCTATACCGGTTCACGTTTAATGAAACCTCCAGCCAGTCGCTCAGTCCAGTAGTTCTTCTGGATTTGATGGATTTACCTCAATCTCGAACAAGTGGAAGTGCCGACGTGGACAGATCAACTGGGCGTCTCACGGGAAGTGGCACTTTCAGCCCGAGCTTTGGTATTGGCAGTTACAAGTCATATGTTTGCGTTGATTTCAAAGGAGCAGAGCTTCGTGATACAGGCATCTGGGAGAAAAACCAAGCAAACATCAGCAGTCGGTCGCTGACACTCGGGTCTGACACATCATCCACTCTTTCGGCTGGTACATTTGCCAGATTCCACGCCCCCAAAGACAGCAGTATTCTCGCTCGCGTTGGCGTTAGCTTCATAAGTGTTCACCAGGCCTGTGCGAATGCGGAGCGAGAGCTACCCGACTTTGACTTCGAGGGCACCGTTTCCGCTGCTGAATCTGTTTGGCGAAAGAAGTTGGATGTCGTCTCCGTGGAAGCAGATGGAGTTTCACCAGATTTACAAACAGTCTTCTGGAGTGGAGCATACCGAGCACTCATCAGCCCGCAAGACTATACTGGTGAGAACCCTCTTTGGGAAAGTGACGAGCCGTATTATGATAGCTACTATTGGTGAGCCAACCCGCTTCGAAACAGATGACTAGCATGCTAATGATACGCCCAGTATATGGGATTCTTTCCGCAGCATTCATCCACTGCTGACCCTGGTTGATCCTTTCTCACAATCCCTCATGATGCGCAGCTTGATCGACACCTATAGACATGAAGGGTATCTGCCTGATTGTCGCATGTCGCTTTGCAAGGGATTCACACAGGGCGGGTCCAACGCAGACGTGCTTATGGCAGATGCGTATCTGAAAAAGGTTCCAGGCATTGACTGGGACACTGCATATGAAGCTGTTGTCAAGGACGCAGAGGTGGAGCCTCAAAACTGGGATGTGGAAGGCCGTGGTGGCTTGCGGAGTTGGAAAAATCTCGGCTATATTCCTTTTGATGACTATGATCCTGATGGCGAAGGTACACACACTCGGAGTATATCGCGGACGGTGGAATATGCCTACAACGACTTTTGCATTGCCGAGATGGCACAGGGCATGGGCCACCAGTCTGACTATGAGAAGTATACGAAACGGTCTGGAAACTGGGTCCACATGTTCAAACCCGACCAGAAGTCAAGCATCAAAGGGGTTGATACCAACTTCACCGGATTCCTACAACCTCGATACACGAACGGCACATGGCGCTACCAGGACCCGATCTTGTGTAGTCCTCTCTTAGACTTCACCGGATGTTACCTCAATCCTGATGGCCATGAGACCTATGAAGGTAGTGCGTGGATGTATACCTTGTGGGTCCTCACTTCTGCTTTATGCTTCTTGAACTCGAAACTAACGCTTTGCTTACAGCTATGCCCCCCACGACATGGGCGCTCTTATCAAGACGCTTGGCGGTGCCGAATCCTTCACCTCTCGACTAAGCTATCTCCATGACTCTGGTTTGCTCTACGTGGGAGATGAACAGGCCTTCCTACCCGTATATCAATTCCACTACTCGGGACGGCCAGGTCTCTCGGCAAAGCAGAGCCATTTCTACATTCCATCCCAATTCAACACAACAGTCAATGGTATCGCCGGTAACGACGATAGCGGAGCCATGGGATCATTTGTTGTTCTGAGCATGATGGGCCTCTGGCCAGTGCCGGGTCAGGACGTTTACCTGATCACTCCGCCCTATTTCAAAGAAGTCAGCATTCGAAACGCCCTCACTGGAAAGGTCGCGACTATCCGCAACATCAATTTCGATCCTAGTTACAAGTCCATCTATATCCAAAGTGCCAAGTGGAATGACAAACCGTGGACAAAGAATTGGATTAGCCATGACTTTTTCGCTGAGGGTGGTGTTCTTGAACTTGTGCTGGGACCTAAGGAGAGTGAATGGGGAACTCGTGTTCAGGATCTCCCGCCGAGTTTGAGCGATTATCAATGAATTGTTGATTTGAGGAGCAACTGTGGTGAGAGAGTGGCATTTCGAGATTGTTGGCCTCTCTGATAAGCAGTTTACTTTTATCAGTATATTTTATCAGTATATTCACGACTTGACACTATGAACTATATCTCTTTTGATGTCTTTTATACTGCTTTTTGAAAGATTTTGATACTATCATTGAAAGACTGTATAAACCATACTGCATTTTCAACAATAACTAGTACTTGTAAAGTGAGAGTGGATATGAAATAATACTACCTGGCAATGTTGACTCATGAGAGTCCTACTTAGTTAACTAGTCGTCATCGTAATTCGCTGAACCTAAGGCAAAGTGTATCCTCCATCAATAATGAGGTTTGCACCTGTCATATAGCTAGACGCATCTGAAGCGCAGAACACGTAGGCCTAGATAGGATTGTCAGTTGGTTTCTAGGGAACTGGATTTGTGGAATCGTACCCCCTTCAACTCATAAGACTCGGCCATTCTCTTGGCGGGGATCAAGTCAAGCCACTTTTCGCGCCATTCTTTGGGGAAGGTGAACAGAATTTCAGTAGCGATGTATCCAGGGGAGATGCAATTGACTCGGCAGTAGTCAACCCACTCGACAGACAAGCACTTGGCGAGCTGAACAACTCCTGCCTTAGACGCATTGTACTATTCGAGGATGAGCGACATGAAAAATGAGTCTTTCCAATAGAGAACATACCGCCGATTGCTTCTGTGGAAGATTGACCAGAGTCGCGCTGGCAGAGGCCGTGAATATAACATTTCCATGACCCTGTGTCTTAAAGATCCGGCCGGCAGCTTGGGCAGAATAGAAAGCACCATCAAGATTGACCTTCATGATCTCGTGCCATTGATCGGGGGTGTAGTCTTCGGCGGCAGTGTTCGAGGCAATCCCAGAGTTGACGACCATGATATCAAGTTTCCCGAAATCTTTCGCGACCTGCTGCACAACCGCCTCGATCTCAGACTGGACGGCAACGTTGGCTTTGTACGCTGCTGCGCGTACGTTGTTAGTAGATGCAATCTCGGCTGCGACTGCATCAGCGGCATCGAATGTGTAATAGATCAAGGCGACCTTTGCAGTTTGTTAGTTTGATTGTTTTGTAGCGTAAGGTAGTGTGGCTTACATTTGCACCCGCTTCGGCCAACGCTCTCGAGACTTCAAGACCAATTCCACGGGCGCCTCCTGTGATGAAGTGTTATTTGAGAGGCCTTTATAATTGGGAGCTACCGTACCAGTCACAACTGCGACCTTGCCCGTGAGGTCGAAGGCCTTCATAACATGCTGGTTTGGGGGTTGTGCGAGGACCATTATGTCGTATTGGCTGTTGCTCGCACTCGAGATAATAGGATAAACTCAATCGAAGATTAATAGAGAAGGGAGGAGCTGAGCCTGACATGTCCCTCTTAATCCCCGCATCTGTTCAGCTCTGACGTGTCTCCAACCATTGCGGCTTCCTCCTGCAGCCAAATCCAGTCTAACCCTGTTGAAGGTAATTCCTGGCGAAAGCGACTAGACGCTGATGATTGGAACGCCCTGTCTCACTCGATGCCCACCGAGACTCTTATTTTTTTGATGTTTTCGGTTGTTGGTTCGCTTTCTCGTTGTTTTGATTTGAACCGTTTGCATGGCTAGGTGACGCGGTTGGGTGAGAGGCATCGAGACGTCGATTCACTTTTTTGAGTCCCTTGAACAACTGCTTATTCTCTCTGTTGAGCTCATAAGCCCAGAGGAGAGTGAGGGCTTCGTTTGACTTTGTATTTTCCATTGTCGAAGATGGAGCTCGGAGAGGTGGAGAGGAAGAGAAGGGGAGCTGAGGACTAAGAAAGGGAAATGGAACAAAGACACTAGAACTACCCAGAAGAATACATAGCCATTAATTAATTAATTATTCTCCTTCTAGTGAATTTACTGACTTCAAATAATTAGGTCTCTACCTTATCTCCATTTCGTAGAGTATAGCAAAAAAAAAAGAGGTGCTAGACTTCATGTGCTTTGTATCTGATCAAATATCAAGAAGACACCGAATGCTCAAAGATGTTGTTCGGTTTTTCTCCCTAATCACTCATCGTGTCACATTCGTCCTCGGGATCGACTTCGGTCTGCTTGGTCTGAGCCTTGCAGTCATCATCCTTGTCCTTGATCGCATGAGTATCTTCATCACTCTTGGTAGAAGCTTCCATTTCATCAAGCTTCTTTCTCAGGCGGTCTAGCCTCATTCTAGCAGCATGGTTCGTGATGCCAAAGTGTCTAGCGACGGCTGGGGCATCAACCTGTAAGTTGATATTGTTAGAATTCATGGCCAGATGTTCAAGTGAGGCCGAACAAAAGAAAATACCAACCTGAATACCTGAGATCTTGTGGCAGGCCCACAGGAACAAGAGCTGCTTTTTCAAATCGGAATCTCTAGGTTCCTTTGGCTTGGATGGGCTTTTCCCAGCCTTTGAGGCTGGGGTTGATTTAGTTGGAGCCATTTGAAAGTGTAATAACCAGGTATGAGCTCTTTGAGTATGATAAGTGAAGTTGTGGGAGAATAGATAATAGTAGTGAAGTCGAGAATGAACAAGGAGAGGAAGTGAGAGAGAGCTCGAGTAGGACCTTTTATATTGGCATCAATAGCAAACAACTATGAAAGGCATGTCTCTCTCAACTTACATGGATGAGTACAAACAGAAGAAAAATACATTTGGACACTTTGATCCTCTATAATATATACATTATTCTATCAAATTGGGGTATATGACCATAAAAGCAGAAAAAGTCATTTGAAAACGCCCAGGTAAAGAATCAACTACCCTTTGTCTTCACAGACTCGAGGTTTTTGACTGGATGTAGAAAGATAGGAGGAAGGCAGAGTCGAGGGTTGTTCTTCTCCCACTGCACACGATTAGCATCAGAATATGTCAAGACAAGAACAATAACTCACCTCTTTGGCACCGTCATAGCCCAACCAGGCTCTGTATAGCTTCTCCGAAAATTCGGAGTTGAACATAAACGTCGTATTGTGTATAATATTATCGTGCTGACCCCAGCTCCAGATGCTGTCGAACCCAGCGTTGACCTTGCCAGGTTCGCCCGGGTTGACATGACGGTTCAACTCCTCAGGATCCCATTTGGCATCATGGTAAATCGGTTGAGGAATTTGGACCGCTTTCAAGCCATAGTACAGAGCCCAGGATATAGGAGACATCTCGGACGCGAGACCAACCCCGGACTTCACCTTATCCTTATGCAACATGCCGAGAAGTCGTGCCGAGATGCGAGACATTGCTACAACAGCTGCCCAGCGTGGGGTCTCTTGGTCTTGAGGGAAATTGAAGACACGGTCACGGAAAGGCCAGTCCGTACCAACTGGGTTGAAATGAGGCAGCCAGGTGATCAGATCGGCTTCTTCACCTACACCCCAGCTCCCTGGCTCATCTTTTGGATGTGGCACAGGGGGGATAATAGCTTGCCCTTCGATGTCGATTCCTTCCGCGGGATGAGGGCCCCAAACACTGCTGTTGTCATGGCCAGGCATTTCCTGATCCACCTTCTTCACAAACTCTTCCCAGGTGCCATGAACAGCAGGGATATAGAAGTGAGAGTTGCGCTCCCACAGATACTTGCGTGGCTGCTGTTTCGCAAACTCTGTTGCCTTGTGCAAAAGGTCGTACATATGGCCGATATACCGCGAGTCCATCTCGAACTGCCACACGTAGTCATACTGAGGGTGTAGTCGTGAGAAGATCTGTGTGGGCTGGAAATACTGCAGTATAGCTCTAATAGGGTGTCAGTAGGGGCATGTCTAGCTCTGAAGGGCCAACACATACACATGAACATCAATCCCAGGATACCAGTCATTCAACATTTCCTCGTTAAACCATACCGCCAGGCTGCACAGTTCCTGCGGCAAATGTTTTGCCTTGAATGCCTTCCAGGCGGCATAATCGGTCTCTTCGGGCAATTTCTCGCCCTGGCAGTCGATCAGGAGAATAAGCTCATATTCTGCACCTGAGTAGAGTGACAACTCCATCAGCATAGATCGAATGTGATACAAGTCATTCTCGGTGTATTTCATGCCGATCCAAGAGCGCAATATAACGGCTGTCCGGGGGACGGTCTTGTCTGTTTCATTCAGGGGCTCGCGAGGCTGCACATCCGAATCCAATGATTTGTAAAGAGCGATTATCTTCTCTTCGGATGGTTGCGTGCGATAGCGAATACTATTGCGCTGCAGACACTCATTTTGCAAATTGGCCCAGTCCACCTGCTCCCAGTTTATTTCGGCGGCCTCGTCGGAACCGAATGTACCATTCCAATTGTGGCGGGTGGTCTTGCCCTCGAGGAAACCATATGCACCATATCGGGAGTAGCGATCGGCGCAGAGACTGTTGTTCAAATTCCACGACTCATACGATCCAAAAGTGGGAGTTGGGAAATCTATTTGACGATTAGTTCCCCGCCGGCTCTTCAAATCTTCCTCTTCGCACCTGAAGTATTCCAGCGAAACCCGCTCATCATCATATCTTCATCTTTGCGGCTCAGGAGTCGTCCTTGGGGCCCAATACACGGCTGGTACGATCCTTTCGACGTCGATTTCCATTCCGCACTATCATAGTGTGGATAGGGGTCATTGATTAATTGGGCCGAAATTCGAGATTGAGTGGCGTAAGCGCTCGGGAACGGATCAACGGGTTGTTCTGTAGGGCTGATACAGATCAGAATGGACCAAGAGAGACGAGAAAAGAGGGATCTTCAATTACTTTGATAGCTTCACGCGCAACGGAACTACTAGAGCTTCTCTGGAATAGGGAACGACAAAAAACACCAGGCACAGGGCGGCGATAGCGAAGCAGCACCTTGGAGAACCGAAAAACTTCCGCAGCGCCACGAAGAAATCCATTAGAATGTGCAAAATCTACAAAGATGCAAAACATTAATCTGGGAGCCTTGCAAGTTTTGTAGCTCTTGAGAATCCCCCAGGGCTAGTGGCTTGGCTCGGCTTATGGGTTCTATCATGTGTGTTGGGCCAATCGTAGAGAGAGACCAACGCGTGTAGGCCGAGAGACTCCGAGCCAAGAGAATAATGAGCAGTGTAAAGGACAGTAGAGATCATTCCTATGTTACATTCTTTGGTCTCAATTAATGCCCTTCAAGGTGTTTCCATAAATTAATGGCCTTACCTTGACATCTCGGATCCCGCTGGATCTGCTGTTTGTCTTATGTTGATCTTCGTAGCCCTAATTTTATGTACTCGTACTCGTACTCGTCTTGATAGGGATAGTGATCGCTATGCACATCCATATGTACTCAAATACTAAACTAACAAGATCGATAAAAACCATAGCTCCAATATCAGCCCAGTTGACATATGAAAAAAAAAAAAAAAAAAAAAAGAAAAACGCACATATCAAACAGGCATTCCAATATGCTTACACGTATCGCATCTCTTCCAAAATCATGGGATTTGATGTCAGTCAGTCGCAGTTCGCCGACCCCATCCACTGAAGAACCCCCCACCAGTGTTATTGGGTGGGGCATTGGCCAAGCTGATCCGCGACTGCGATACTCCAACAAAGGAATGGCGGGTTTCAATAATATTTACCCCCTGGGAGGTCTTGAGCATTCTCCGCAATGAATCGTACTTGCCTTTTACTTCCTCAAGCTCTTGCCGAGCAACTGCCTCGGCCGTCTTGGCAGTAACCAACTCCATCAGCAACGTCTCTTCGGCGGCAGGTCTGTTATTCTCCGTCGACAAAACGGTCTGGAGACCCAGGCTGCTTGTCCGTCTGTTATATGTGGGGCTTTTTGTGGAGCTGGTGCGGGAGAGCTTGAACTCGCGCAGACCACTAGTGGGAGATTGAGACTCGCCAGACTCAATCGCAGAATACGTTGTGTCTAGCGGCGTTTCCGATATAGGAGTTTTGAGGATCCGCAGCTCCCGGTTCATACGCTCGAGCCGCTGTCGCTCCCGATACCCGTCTTGAATCCGGCCCCGAGCTTCTCGTAATTGCTCCTTGAGGGACGAGTTCTCCTGTTCAAAATCGTCGATGCGCCGGGTGAGGTTCAAGCAACGACCGGCTTCCACCTCGTGCATTTCCTTCCATCGAGCAACATCGTCATTGAGCTGGAGCTTGGTCTGGGTGATTGAAATACGCTTCGGTTGGACGGATTCAAAACGTGCTTCGGCTTTTGTTACTAACTCGGCCGGTTGTGTCTCAGCCGGCTGTTCTCTAATTTGATTCAACATCTCCTTGGCCAGGGTGTGGTCTTCCTCTCGCTCTTCTCTCTCCTGTTGCAGTTCACGTGTGAGGTTAGCTTGTTGGCGTTGAAGATCGCTGAGGGCCATCAGGAGTTCTTCAATCTGGGTATGGAGGTCGCGGTCTTTGTGATGCGAAGACATGGTGGATTTCGCGCGCGGTTTTTGATTATCGACGCTAGCTACAGGCGCTGATAGTTCGGTCGCAGCAGTACTTGCGTCCGACGTAGTATCAATAGAGTTGAGAGTGGAGGTCAGACTCTGCTTGGAGGTAGAGCGACGAATGTTCTGACTTGACGGGCTACTATTTGGACTGAGTGACTTGACCGAATTGTGGGAGTTTGACGAGCCAGCCCATAACCGCCCAAGGAAGCCAGAGGCCGTTGCCTGCATCTGCGGAAAGGAGGGTCCGGAGGGTGAGCCCTTCGATTGGTTATAGCTGGCTTCAAGCTTTTGGAGACTTTCATTCGTCACGAGAGAGGTGAGAGACACGAAGTCATTGACGAGATCATCAGCATTGAAGGCGTATCTGAATATCACGGGTTAGCCGAGTTCTTTGTTTAGAAGATTTGCTTTGTGCAATGTCCAAAACTTACGTGTCCCACAAGCTTCGAGATAATAATAGTTGCATCACATCCTCGAATTCACTGCAAGCCAAAATTCTCTTTTCGTTGCGCTGCATCAGGGAAAGTGCAACTCGCATCAAAGTCTCGCATGCGCCTTCCAAAAAGATAACATCATAAATTCGGAGAAGCATAGGGAGCGGACAAGCCACCGCAAAGAATGAGAGGAACCACTGCGATACGTAGACCGGCTCAACGTGCAGTGCTTCGAGATGTTGGAACAGGACCGGCCTGTGCCGTGCCAAAAGATTTTGGAATTGATAAACATGAAGGTGAAGACCCGAAAGATCTGGAAGATAGCAACTTCGCAGGTTATAGTGATCCATGAGGCTACAATATGTCATTAGTACTTCTCCAAGTTATATCATCGTCCAAGGAGACTTACCGGACAAGAACACAAAAGGCCTCCGCATCTGTCATGTGCATGAGCAGGGGGCCCACCACGAATCCAAGACCTTGACAGTAGCCAATCTTAGTATCGTACAGACTAAAACATCGCAACACACGGCCGAGCATCTGTTGACCCTCGCCGTTCGGGTCGCGGAACATTGCAACATTGGGAAAGCTGCGACCAATATCTTTTCCGATCAGCCCATCGTACGGACTGCTTTCGCCCGAAAGCTTCTGGAATTCATTTAACAGATTAGGATCGCGTGCGCCCGCTAGGCTAGGCCACACTACTCCTCGCAATGGCGGAGGCACACCCCCTTGGATCTTATTCGAGGTCAATGTCGGCAAACGCTGGGCAGTCCGGTGGTAATCGGCAACCAATGCAGCCCAAAACTCCAACTCGGTCATTGGAGGAGGGGGTAACTGCGAGTATCGCAGCTCTGCCCGAGCGGGATCCCGAATGAGTCGCTTGATATGGTGTAGTGACTCGGAGCGGGACTGCCGCTGGTATTTGTCATGAGGAATCTCGGATATTCCCGACTTGGGGTTGGTCACCAACGCATTGTTTTCTTGTTCAAGTCGAGCGAGAAGCAGGGCTGTGGACTAAAATTAGGCCAAGAATGTTAGCACCCATTCTAGAATTCCGCGAAAGCTTGTCACACTTACTTCATCGGACCCCTCCCCACGCGGTTCTTGTTCTTCGGTCTTATCCAGCTTCTCCCAATTCACCTCACTGTCAAACATTTCCCTAGTCTGTCCCGCCTTATCTGCGCTTGTGGTTTCGGGAGTCGGGGTGGTCCTCGCTGCGTCCCGTAATGGCATCGGCCCAAAGGAATCCTCACTCTCCTTCTCGAGATGAGTCATCTCCACTGGGGTTGGAGGAATTTCAAGAGTGCGCCAATCCGGTTGGGTGTGCTCTGAACTGGACTGGTTATCGGACAACGCGACGGTGACCATTGAGTCATGGTTCGGCGCGTAACCAACGCTAGAAGATGTTGGCTCGAAACCTTCCATTATTGTGAATATTGTGACGTGATTGAGAATCGAGTATGTGACTGGGGGTTGCAGGATGTAGACGCGTTATTGTTGACAATGTTGATATCGGACAGGGTTATTTTAGGCGGGTTTCAACTGCATTGCGGATCACTTCACAATTTCGAGTATTCAAGAAAACGGATTCTTTCCAGCAGAAGTGGGACCTGGATATGATTCTAAACTTGTATCCAGTACAAGAAGAAAAGGCTGGAGAAAGAAAAAAGGGAGTCAGGAGAGATCCCACCTATTTCGTTAGCCCCCCTTTACCTTTCCCCTCGTGTAGTCTCGGCCCCGTCGATCATCCTCATACACCGACTGTTTGACCATTGAAATAGATAGATTATGGAATCTTGGAGGAAACGGCTACAGATATTGTCACTACGCTGTAAATTGTATGAATGTAGTTAATAAGGGCCAATTCCATCGCTCTTCACCCATCAGAGTTCCCCGACATCAACCGAAATTGGTATCGGAGGAATTTCGAGTCCATTACGGAGTATTGCATGTTCCAATTATACATACATAGTACTCAGATACTTGAAGTCATCTGAATGTCTCAAGTTTAGTTATTTCAACTGCATATTGCCTGCAGGTACATAGTACAGCCTCTCATATTTGAAAGACCAAAGGCCAAAGGGGTACCGTCATTGTACACCGTTATATCTTTGATACATCAAAATATCCATCTGTAATCTGTCGTAGCTCTGATTGGTTAATATCTTAAATGTAGCCGAATTGATTGGTCGCGCCCCTAGCGGAGATTGAAATACAATTACCACCCCTGGCTTGTCCGTTCACCTCAATATTGAGGCTGGCCAACGTTGTTGTACTTCGGACACCGTATCATTGATTGACTCGAAAAGGACTTGACACAGACTTCTTTCTACCTATATTGTAGGTTTCTGAACCACCCCTGGGCCTCACACCATCGACTATTCCCAGAGATCCACAGAGTGAGGTCCATGCGGTCCGCCTGTCAGACCTGGGTGGTCTTCCAATCCACCTTTCGAGGTTTCAAGGAGTTTCTCGGATATATTTTCAGAGTGGCGTTGATGGCTGTCTATATTCATCCAGTACTCCGTACCTGTATCCACTAGAAAGAATTTCGGGATGATAGAATGACGTGTCATAGCATATGACTTTAACTAACCAACGACAACATACATAACTAGTGATAAAGAGGGAAATGCACGGTAGGCAATCTGGTCTCCCTAGACAAGACCAGGGGTGATAGGGTGATAGAGAGAACACCAGGGGTTGCTCTAGAATAATAATGGAAGGTGGAAGGTGGAAAGTGTCTGTATTGCAGTCTTACAGTGTTCGTTGTAATTTCTAAATATCCAATCTTCTCCAAGCGCCCGGACAAGCCGAACAGTTGACGAAAATGAGTTCGCGTCGATCGGGGATAGTGTAAGCCCAATGACACTGTGCAACGAGGCATGTGCAAGCACAGAGGCCAAATCGCGAGGTCCAAATATTGGAATAATCATAACGTTCTACAATGCAGAACTATCAGCGATTAAACTGATAAGAACAGATACTACACTTGATCTAAGCCAGAGGCAAAGAGAGCTGAAGAAGAAGGAAAAGAAAAGG